GGGGGGGGTGGGTGTGTGGTGTTTCTTCTCCGCCGGGGGGTTGGGGGCTTTTTTTTTGCGGGGGGGGGGGGGGGGGGGGGGGGGCCCCCCCCGCAAGTAGAGAAAAGAAGAAAATGAGAAGGGACTACAAAATGATGATTGGGAATTGGGGACTTGTTGGAGGGTAAACTCCTGAGAATCTGATGACTCTGTCTCTAGACAAATGACTCAAAATTTTGCATAACATTTGGAAGGAGGGGCAGTTTCTGAGCTATTAGTTACAAATCTAGCATGTGCTCTGAGGCCAGTAGGCCAGCATTATTTGGATGTCACAGTCCCTCTGAAGACCCAGCTCTTGCTGCCCATAGCCAAGCCTGAGGGAATACTAATGTATACCCATTCTTATGTGGCATTTTCCCAGTAGAAGGAAGGACTGGGCCCTGAGATTTGGTAAAAGTGGGCAGAGGGCTTGCCTGGGGTGGCCCCTTGGCCAACAGCCCTACTCTTTCTACTGCAGGAGGAAGAGCCACTCATCCTCTCCACAGAGTGTGCTCTGGAACCGGTCACAGCCCTCAGAGGACCGCCTGCCTTCCCACCAGGGGCTGGGGGAAGCCAAGTCTTCCAGCTCCTCATCCTCGAACCATTCTGACTTTTTCAGGATGGGTAGCAGTCCCCTGGAGGTCCCCAAACCCAGGTGAGGAGCTCCAAAGCCCCTAATGATGGAGGTAGTTAGCCCTCCCCTCTTAATAAGCCTGGAGAGTGGGGTTTCAGCCCCTGAGCTGGTATCTCAGGTGGTTCCTTGGCATGCAGCCTGGTCAGCAGTGTACCCAGGAGGCCAGAGGGGTTGGCCAGGCTTGCAGGCCCACCCCTATTTGGAGGATGTGTTAGTATTGGGGTAAGAGCTAGTCTGCAGCACCGATTGAAGACTCCTTCCCAGAGCCCTGGCAGATAGGGAATCCAGAAGCTGTACTGGTTACAGTGTGATGAGCAGGGGGTTAGGGCTGCCTCCACCTATTGCCTTTGGCAGGTCTCAGCCCCTGGGCCCTCACATTCTGTTTCAAGAGATGGACCCAGATCCTCAAAGTCCTGTTTGGTCCTCATATTCCATGTCTGAGTTGGAGGGGCGGTGAGGAGAATAGACAGTAGTGAGCTAGGCTAGATGTGTGTGGCTCGGGTGAACCTTGGGAGACTCTACATCTGAGAAGTGCTCAGCCAGATGGACAAGTGTGGCTGGAGCATGCTGCAGAAATAATGTTTCCTATAAGAGATTGAAGCTGAGCACTGGTAGGTCGGGGCTTAGGACTGAGGGATGGCCTGGCACTTGGGGAAAGCATTTCCTAGCATTGCCTTATTTTCCATGTCATACACACAGGGAAAGGATCCTGTGAGTTGCTTTGTTCTCTAAAGTCTTGAGAATGTCTGGCCCTTCTGAAGAGAACAAAGCAGGGTGTGGCTTAAGAGGTCCTTAAGAAATTCCAAGGAGAAAGGGGCATTTAGCATAAAGAGCATGAGCCTTAGAGTCTAGCCCAGATTCGAGCCCAGCTCTGAAATGAACTGCTCCAAAAGTTTCAGGTCTTACCAGCATGCATGTTAACAGTAAGGAAACCAAGCCCCAAAGTCACAGGCATGTTACAAGGAAAGACCTGAAATTTCTGGAACCCTCTTCCCATCACCATCCTCTGGTTTTTCTCCTTGGGCAAAGGCAGGCAGTGGAGGAAGAGTGCCCTTCTCCACACAGGCAGAGGAGGTCAGCTGTAGGCTAGTAGGAGCCCCGCAGAGTGCACGGGCCCAAGGAGTCCCCCGTGCTCACCTTTAGAGGACCCAGAGCACTCACATGTCTGCCAGGGCTATAGCTGCATCCACTAAACAAAGATTATAACTCCTTTGACCCCACAGGAGGCTGGTGAAGGTGGCTGAGCAGAGTGGGTGCTGGGCAGACAAGTCACAGGCCTGTGCGCGTTCTTGTCCTGTGTGCCCGCTGCCATGGCACCCTTGTCTGCACGCCCAGCTTTCCTCAGGCCTGTTCGAGGGCTGCGGTGGCTCTACATAACCCTCGCAGTTCTGGGCTGGAACTCTTACTCACTGTCCCTACCTCCCTTCCTGCCTGTGCAGCATTGCTAGACAACTGGGAAAGAGACCAGAAGATTCCTCCTATCCTCTCAGGTCCTGCTCCAGTCTCAACTATCCAGCTGCTAGGGGCTCCCGCTGAGGTGGCACTCCATCACCTCTTCCCACACCCTAGCTTTTTATTACCCCTTCTTCTTGCCAAGAAATCCTACTTCTCAATCTTGTGATAGTTTTCGTCAGCGTCACAGTGGTTTTTGCCTGCACTGGGTGGCTCAGACTCTGAGGGTTGGCCCAGGAGAGCTACAAAGGCCCCTCCCTAAGGAGACCGGAGGGCTGGGGGAGTCCTCTGGCCTCACAGCCCTGTGTGCTTGGCATAGTCGAGACTGGGATAGCTGGGCCAAAGTGGGGCACAAGGCCTTGGAGAGGCGTGGGCAGGGCTGCTTTGAGGTGTTTGGCTCTGCCAGTCTATTCTGGGAATGCCTGCTTGGAGCCCAGCTGGTCTGGCCAGGCAACAAGGTTCTGGACTGGGAGCCTGTTTGCCAGAGGTTTTGAAAGACTAGATTATTCAGATTTGGAGCATTCTAATTATGTATTTCCATTAACATTAAAATTAATTTAGTCTCTTTTATCTTAAAGTGCCTGAGGGATCCTGTCATTAGCTTCCCTGCCTGCCTCTCTTAGGTAACAACAGCCAATCAGCTTTTTAATGCAGCAGGGGGAACTGCATGGAAAGAACCCCTATCTGTGACAGCTGAAATTTCCCTCATGATGTGAATTCTCTGGGTTTCATATGCTCCGAATTCTCTCTTAAAGCAGGATTTTCCTATGAAAAGAGTCAGCGAAGCTTTGTTCACAGTTAAGAAGTAGGTGTTGTGCTGGGAAGAAAGTTCTGTGGGGTGCTAATTCTTACCCAGCCCCAACACTGTACTCCTCTCTGAGAAGACTTGTGGCTCTTTTGCATTATTAGTTGCCATGCAGCAGCTTCTGATTGAGCTGCATTTCTGGACTGTTGTTAAATCTCTCATCAGCTACAGGGCTGGGGGCTGGGAGGAGGCAAGACCACTGCTCTGAGCTCATGTGCCTCCCAAGGTCCTGGTTACTAAATGGCTCAGCCCCATGTGGCCTTGGTCTCTGCTCCTGAGTCAGACATCTTTAGGGGTGGGGGGTTGCTAGCACAGCACTGTCCACGCCTGAGGAGGGATGGTGCCACCACTGAGCCCAGCTTGAAGCCAAGCTGCCTAAAGAGCAGATTAACTTGGCTAAGGGACACCCAGCAGCCTGGTTGAATAGCTAAGTGGAAACATAGGAACCAACTTCTGTTGCCCAGCTAGCTGCTCTTTCCCCATCTTTCACCACATACCAACTGCTCAGTATAACCATTGAGCTCTGTCCTGGGCTGTGTTTAATGAGGCAGAGAAACCAGATTGCTTTCTGCAACACATAGGGTTCCTGTCTCATGTTTAACATTGTCTTGCATGGGACCATAGCTCCAAACCAAGGATGAGTGGTGAGCGGGCATTGCCAGCTTAAGACCCAGAAAAGGACACTTAGAGCCATAAAAGATTTCTTGGGCTGCTGCAGGAATGCAGTTTCATTCCTTCCTTCCTTTTCTCTCTCTCTCTGTCTCTCTGTCTCTCTGTCTCTCTCTCTCTCTCTCTCTCTCTCTCTCTCTCACACACACACACACACACACACACACACACACACACACTGATGTTTGTTTAAAGTGTGGGTTGGGGAAAACTGATGCTTCCCCATTCCTGGAAGCATTCAGTTAGGCAGAGGCTCTGGAACCATCATCTGGAGGCTTGAGGGTTGGTAGGGCATAAGTGTAGATTAGAGGTGACATCCAGGCCTTCTCAAAGTTTGGGATTTTAGGTCTTGGCTCAGATAGTCGTTCCCTGCATGACTTCAGACATGTCACTTGAGGACTTTGGGCTTCTGTTTTTCATCTGTGTAATGAGAGGTTTAGATGGGCAACACCCAGGTTCTTCCTAGCTGTGTACCTTCAAGCCTTCTGCATCAGCATCATTTCAGGTGCTCCCAGAGGCAATTAACAGAAAACCCATCTCAATAGATTTAAACAATAAAGGAAAACTTGGTTCTTATGGAAAAGTCCAGTGGAAAAATGACCTTCCGGTGTAGTCTGTTCAAGGCTCCAGCTCCATTTTCTTGTGGTTCTGTACCCTTCCCTTCTTCTACATGCTAGCTCTGCCTTGACAGCTTCCCTAATGGTGAACAGCCACTTCTAGGACACCCTGCTTCCTTTGTCACATCCAGGAATCACAAAGGACCTCTTTTCTAATCATGGATCAGAAGCTCTGTGCTTTATTCCAGTTGGAAATGATGTGCCCATCCCTGAACCAATCCCTGAAGTCCCTCCCACCCTTTATCAGGAAGGAAGATCAGTGTATCATGAGGCTGGCTTAGGCTAGTCCCAGCTTTGTCCGCCAGCTGTTTGTAACTTGGAAAAATCACTTCCCTGCTGAGCTCAGTTTTTTCATTCCACCTTTAAAGTTCAAGTAATGATCCTGGCTTACCTAAGTTTGGGTTTAAATTACATAATGGAGGGGCCCCTGGGTGGCTCAGTCGGTTGAGCGTCTGACTTCGGCTCAGGTCATGATCTCATGGTTTGTGAGTTCGAGCCCCGCGTCGGGCTCTGTGCTGACAGCTCCAGAGCCTGGAGCCTGCTTCAGATTCTGTGTCTCCCTCTCTCTCTGCTCCTCCCCTGCTCACACTCAGTCTCTCTCTGTCTCTCAATAATAAATAAACGTTAAGAAAAAAATTTTTTTAATTAGATAATGGAGCGTAGTATCTAGCACATAGTAAATACTCATCCTTTCCATAAATGCTCAGTAAACAGTTGTGGTAAAGGACCTGTCCTTATTCACATATCTGATGGCATACAGGCCATGTCAGGGCACTAGGCTGCTAGGTAGAAGGCCAGGCCATGCACTCAGGCCAGACCTGTTCATTCTTGCCTCAGCTGTGTGGGTTGGGGCCAGCTCTGCTTGTATGGATATTCTTGTACCTCCTTCCAAAAAGGACTGTTTAAAAGATACCTGCCTGAGTCCTGCCCACACTGGGTGCCTGACAGGAGGTGGGGAAAGATGGGAGTTGTGGCTCTAGTCTCCTGGGCAGAGACAGGAGCCCTCTGAGCTTCAGGGATGTGGACACATGACCTTGGAAGAATCATTGGCTCCACAGTTCTTCAGTTTGAGAATAGCGTGGCCCCATGTTCCCCCTGGTCCTGTAGGCAGGAGATTGGAAGAGCTAGAACTCAGACTTCTTTTTCTGCTGCTTTGTGCTTGAGTAAAGAACCAGGGCAGAAGAGTGTGGAGTCTTGATAAAGCTGGTACTTTACTCATACCTAGGTACTGAGACCGTCTTGAAAGTTTTCCTTTTTATTACTCAGGAGGTGCAGTCACTTGTTCTAGTGACTATTTGCTTTCATCTTTAGGTGTCCCCTCCAGCCAGCTAATCTGGCACTTAAGAGCACCTCTCGGCTTAGCATAGTCCCTTGCTTTTAAACCAGGAGCTGAACAGTTGCTTTGCAACCCTTCCTTTGACAAAAGCCTCAAGTAGGAAGATTCATCTGCAGCCTGTGTGCTCACTCTTGTACAAGAT